TATCCACAAAGACAAGGGACATGTGCCAGATACTCGAAATGGTTCAAAATATTTATAGGTAAAAAATATCTCGGAAAGAAAATTTAAAATATTAATATCCACAGATTTTAGATAAATTTTAACTTTATCCAAAGAAGGAGAACCTTTTGAACCATTTGTTGATGTAAAGAGATAGTTTATCACTCACAGCTCTCTGTTCTTTAAATATAAGATTACAAAGTACAAAAGAAAGAAAGCACTAATGAAAAGGTTTAACCAACATGTTAATTATCTAACTATACCTTCATTCTATGAGCTTCACACTGTTCATATTTTATATTTATGGACTATATCTCGATATGTTGTGCTTGAAGAGGGAACTAGACATGTGTATATAAAAAAAATGAAGTATTCAATTTGTTCCCAGTTAAACACATGTGCAGAAATAAATGTAATAAAAAAAAGAGGTAAGATATTTATCATAGTTTGTCCACTTAGCAACATGGAGAACTATTGCAGGATGCATGGGAAGACAGATAGGTCCGATAGGAGACTGAGCCACCGTAGAAGCTACAGAGGTTTTTGTATCGATGCTCAGTCGCTCATTAACTGTCCTACCAGGCAGTTTAAGACAAACAACATCTACATATTGATTGGATAATGAGAAAGCTAGCACAGTTTCGGTTAAATCCCTAGGAGTTACCGCTGTAACTGTTATCATCATTAGCCTAAGAGATAAGAAATGCAAATAGCAAGAACAGACATGCATATCCATTTCTATCTGTAAGCTAGTATTTGCTTAAAAATCTACAAGAGCATTGCAAGTCTCGGAACATATCTTCACAAAGTAACTTTACTAGAGGCGAAGCACAACAACAAACTTATTACCTGACAGCAGCCTCCTCAGATACAAATTCAACAAATGCAAATCCTTTGCAGACAGGATCTCTTGTCTTCCAATTTCCAGCAACCGCAGGGCTAATCTTAACAATACCTTTAAACCCTTTAAAAGCTGCCCGCAAATCTCTGTCTATGTTCTTCTTCTTTGGGAGATTCACCAAACGCACTGCAGGCCCATTTATAGCATCTAGTAATGAAATGCGCAGAAAAAATCAAGTTAGCTTCAACCGAAATCCAATATTTGAAAGGGAAAAATACACGAAAGACAAGTATATAAAGATAACCAACCAAAATGGAATTTTTATATGATTTCAGTATTAAGGGTTGTTCGATTGACATGAAATAGAGCTGCAATAGCTCATCCAACCAAAATGGGATTTTTATATGATTTCAGTATTAAGGGCTGTTCGGTTAATAGAGCTGCAATAGCTCATGCAGGAACCAAATCTTTATTATCAATCTTTAGCAAGCACGATGTTACTTCAGAAATGTAATTACTGTACCATTTGCAGAAAATGCTGCAATTCCGTGCGGTAAGATGAAAAAAAAATTTGATTAGTGGCTAATGGAATTCAGCTTACAAACTGTGAATGAATTGTCAACAATTACATCTAAAAAAAGGTGCTTCATCTGCAACGAAAGCGCATTTCTTGAAACAAAATACGCAAAGCCTTTTTTTCCAATTTAACCAATAAGATATTCCCTGCAACAACCAATCCCAATGACAGATTTGAGACTAAGGGGACTGTTGTACATGCGACAAATGTTGCATGAAGAAAATTGTGCATATCATTTTTTTTTTTTTTTTTTTTGAAGTTGGAACCCACCAATTTGAAGACATGAAAAGTGGTTTTTGGCTTTTAATTAATCCAAAGACTTGCGGCATTTGTTGCAGAAAAATTGCTCAAAACAAGTGGAGCTCTCATTACCCTTTTGAGCCAGTTCTTGCTTCTTGCTCGAACTCCCCTTGGCCTTCTTCGCCTCGGCAGCGACCTGAGCAGCAATCCTCGCCCTCTCCATTTCTTCCAGAAGCTTCTCCTCCACCGTTGTATCGTACACTTTCCCCTCCCCAAACCCAGCCGGCCTCTTCATCTCCCACCTCCTCATCTCTTCAAACGCGAGAAACTCATCATCATCATCTTCTTCTTCTTCTTCTTCTTCGATGGTGAGTGTAGAGGTTGATTCTATGGGTTTGGTCTTCTTCTTGGCGTTGGTTAGGGTCAGGGTTGGGATGGAGAGGGGTTTGAGGAAAGAGAGGGGGTTGGGGTTGGGGTTGAAGAGAAGGGGAGGGGCCGGAGGCGAGAGGAGGGTGAGAGGGGCTGACGTCGAGAAAGAAGCGGCCACCATGGCGTAGGCCGTAGGGGGGTATTTTGCTGGTGGGGGGAGGATTAGGAGTTCGCGTCGAGCGAGGGGCCGAGAGGTTTATCGGAATTTTGCGGAGAGGTCCGCTTGCGTTTCGAAGGCCAACCGCTATCGCTGAGGTATAGGGTTAATTTGCGAGTGGAGCCCTTGTAGTATCACTGTTTTGCACTTTCTACTCCTGCAGTTTCATTGTTTCAGATACACCCCCCTAGGTTAAACTTTTGACGGGTATGCTCCCAAATGAAATTAGTGAGTCTAAATGAGGGTAAAAAGGTCAAAAAAAGGGAACAACATGCCGCAGTGAAACTATAGGGTAATTAAGTTCAAAACAATAATAATACAGGGGGTCTATGTGCATCTAACCCTCCTTTCATATATCTACCTCTAAATATTTGATATTGAAAAGATTAACCAGAACATTTCTCTTTACTGATTTATTTATGCATGGTATTCAAGAATCAGGACTAAAACGAACTCTATTGTGCTATTAACCTATTAAGACTGTTTTTCCTAAATGTTATTAAACATGTGTTACGTTTGGATTAGAATGTAGTTCATACTTGCCACCATACTGCTACATGAGGGGATCCTCTCGTACAACAAGCCTTTTCACATGATGGAAGTTTTGGAACCATGAAGCCTAACCATCCTTCACCGCACTGTACTCCTTCCTCTCTCTCTCTCTCTCTCTCTCTCTCTCTCTCTCTCTCTCTCTCTCTCTCCCAATTAATTAACTCCCCCCCCCCTCCTCCTCCCTCTCTCTCTCTCTCTCTCTCTCTCTCTCTCTCTCTCTCTCTCTCTCTCTCTCTCTGTATTTACTAATTCATTTCATTTTACGCTCCTTAAAGAAAGCATTTCTAGAATATCAGTAAGAGTTACAAAGTTCTTCGTACTCTTTATTATAGATCTTACATGAAAAGGTTAGCCAAAAAAAGGACAATAAAACGATCGATAAGGATTAAACCAAGCAACAGTTTTACATTGGAACAACTACAAATGATTATTCCCATTTCTAATTTACAT